GCGACTTTGGACACATAAAGGTTCCTGCGCGACTTTGATGCGACTTGAGTGCCAGAGAGTGTAAAGTCGCATCAAAGTCGCATCACATGAACAGAACTCTCATACATTCCTATTAACCAAAACAGAACGCAGAACGCATTGACAAAACTGCAGAGCCAGAGAGTGTAAAGTCGCTTCGAAGTCGCACTACATGAACAGAACTTTTACTTTCCTAATAGCCAAAAACATGCGATTTTGGACACATAAAGGTTCCTGCGCAACTTTGATGAGACTTGAGTGCCAGAGAGTGTAAAGTCGCATCAAAGTCGCCCTACATGAACAGAACTCTCATACTTTCCTATTAACCAAAAACGCAGAACGCATCAAAAACACGCCAGTGTCAGAGACTATAAAGTCGCATCGAAGTCGCACTACATGAACAGAAACCTAATAGCCAAAAACATGCGATTTTGGACACACAAAGGTTCCTGCACTAATTTCATGCTACTTGAGTGCCAGAGAACCAAACAAAAAAAAAAACGCAGAACGCATCAAAAACACTGCAGAGCCAGAGAATATAAAGTCGCTTCAAAGCCACACTACATGAACAGAACTCTCATACTTTCCTATTAACCAAAAACGCAGAACGCATCAAAAAACACACCAGTGTCAGAGAATATAAAGTCGCATCAAAGTCGCATCACATGAACAGAACTTTCAGACTTTTCTAATAGGCAAAAACATGCGACTTTGGACACATAAAGGTTCCTGCGCTACAATGCGACTTTCATGCTACTTGAGTGCCAGAGAGTGTAAAGTCGCATCAAAGTCGCCCTACATGAACAGAACTCTCATACTTTTACTATTAAACAAAACGCAGAACGCATCAAAAACACGCCAGTGCCAGAGAGTGTAAAGTCGCATCAATGTCGCACTACATGAACAGAACGCTTATACTTTCCTAATAGCCAAAAACATGCAATTTTGGACATATAAAGGTTCCTGCACTAATTTCATGCTACTTGAGTGCCAGAGAGTGTAAAGTCGCATCACATGAACAAACTCTCATACTTTCCCATTAACCAAGGGAAAAAAAACGCAGAACGCATCAAAAACACTGCAGAGCCAGAGAACATAAAGTCTCATCTAAGTCGCATCACATGATCCGAACTCTCATACTTTCCTATTAACCAAAATTTAAAAAAAACGCAGAATGCATCAAAAACACGCCAGTGACAGAGAGTGTAAAGTCGCATCAAAGTCGCCCTTCATATGAACAGAACTCTCATACTTTTACTATTAAACAAAACGCAGAACGCATCAAAAACACGCCAGTGCCAGAGAGTGTAAAGTCGCATCAAAGTCGCCCTTCATGAACAGAACTCTCATACTTTTACTATTAAACAAAACGCAGAACGCATCAAAAACACGCCAGTGCCAGAGAGTGTAAAGTCGCATCAGTGTCGCACTACATGAACAGAACGCTTATACTTTCCTAATAGCCAAAAACATGCAATTTTGGACATATAAAGGTTCCTGCACTAATTTCATGCTACTTGAGTGCCAAGAGTGTAAAGTCGCATCACATGAACAAAACTCTCATACTTTCCCATTAACCAAGGGAAAAAAAACGCAGAACGCATCAAAAACACTGCAGAGCCAGAGAACATAAAGTCTCATCAAAGTCGCATCACATGAAAAGAACTCTCATGCTTTCCTATTAATCAAAACAAAACGCAGAACGCATCAAAAACACACCAATGCCAGTGAGTTTAAAGTTGCATCTAAGTCGCATCACTGGCCATGCGTTCTGCGTTTTTGTTTTGATTTAGGAAAGCAGAGAGTTCTTTTCATGTGATGCGACTTTGATGAGACTTTATGTTCTCTGGCATCTGCAGTGTTTTTGATGCGTTCTGCGTTTTTTTTCCCTTGGTATGATCCGAACTCTCATACTTTCCTATTAACCAAAATTTAAAAAAAACGCAGAATGCATCAAAAACACGCCAGTGCCAGAAAGTATAAAGTCGCATCAAAGTTGCACTACATTTTTTTCCCCTTTAGTTAATAGGAAAGTATGAGAGTTCTGTTCATGTAGTGCGACTTTGAGGCGACTTTACACTCTTTGGGACTGGCGTGTTCTTGACGCGTCTGCATTTTTTTTTTTGGTTAATAGGACAGTATGAGAGTTCTGTTTATGTGTGCGACTTCGATGCGACTTTATATTCTCTGGCACTGGCGTGTTTTTGATGCGTTCTGCGCTTTGTTTTGGTTACTAGGAAATTATGAGAGTTCTGTTCATGTGGTGCGACTTCGATGCGACTTTACACTCTCTGACACTCAAATCGCATCAAAGTAGCGCAGGAACCTTTATGTGTCCGAAATCGCATGTTTTTGGCTATTAGGAAAGTATGAGAGTTCTGTGCATGTGGTGCGACTTTATACTTTCTGGCGTGTTTTTGATGCGTTCTGTCATACTTTCCTATTAACCCCAAAAAAAAAATCTGCGGGGGAAAAAAAAAGCCCCCGACCCTTTCCCAAAAAATCGCACCTTCTCCAAACGAATGCACAGATCTGAACTCGATCCGTAGGAGACTCCTGTTCAGCGTTTCTGGAAAACGCACAAAAAAACGGCGCCGGGGGTTCGCTTTACATCAGACAAAAGATCGAAAAGGGAAATCGGACATAAAATCGTCCATCTTGGGGGCGTCGACTTTCTTCCATGTCTGCGGCGGCGGCGGCGTTGATCGCCCGGAAGGGGTTAGTGCGTCACCTGATCCGACGGCGATAATGCGAGTCGCTCTGGTTTTCCGGCAGGTGAGCGCGGAGAAGGCGCGTCCTCTGACTTTGATCCCCGTGATAATAAAAAATATAATAAATTATAAAAAAAATTAAAATCGTATTAAATATAATAAATTGTAATAACATAATATATACAAATCATATTAATAAATCATATATAAATTATAAAAGAATATATTAAAATCATCATAAATAATATATTATATTATAATAACATATTAAATAGAAATCATATTAATAAATAGAATAATTATAAAAAAAATAAAGTAAATCATAAGACAGTAAATATAAAAATAAACTAAAAATCATCAAAATAAATAATCATTATAAATAATATAATAAATTCTTATAAAAGAATGGATTAAAATCATAGATATAATAAATTATAATAAAAGAATAAATAAAAATCATATTAATAAATAATATAATAAATATAATACAATAAATAAAAAAAATCATAATATAATAAATTATAATACAAGAATATATAAAAAATCATCATAATAAGTATAATATATTATAATAAAATAATTAAAATCATCAATTATATATAATATTCTAAATATAGTAAATACATACATTATAATAAAATAAATATAATAAATAATATGAAAAAAAATAATTAAACACAATTAAAAAAAAATGTTTTCTCGTTTTATACAAAATTAATAAAGAGAAGAAGCTGCTGATCTGTCAGTGAGGAGACTGGATGGGAGTTTTTTTGTTTTTGTATTTATTTTGACGCCAAATTTCGATTTATTTTTAGTCTTTTGTCTAAAATGCCATTTTCGTTTTGTTGTGGAAATGAACTGGGTACAATTGAATTGGGTACAATTGGGTTGAATTGGGTACAATTCCAACTTGTGACACATCCGGATTTATCACCGGCCTGGTCTGCGGGTGACACCAGAGAATCGCCTCCTCCGCTGTATGTGCGCCGCGTGATTGCCGCGGCCCGGGGAGGGTTAATCCGTGTCATGGAAACCTCTTATCAGTGACGTCACGCCGCAGACACGCTCACATCTGTCACTGTCTCACACGGCTGCAATCAGCATCGTCTGCTGGCCGGACCGGCATCTGATAGAGATTGGATGGTAAGATGGGGTACACGGGCAGCGGTGTGGATGGGGGAGGGGAGCCGGCGGTGATCCCCCCCCCACCCATGTAAGTACAGAAGGATCATCTATAGGGTGAGAATATCCGAATTCAGACCTGCGGCCGGTCCTCAAGTCACACCAGATCGCTTGTTACGTGGCGGCGGTCCCCGGGAATCCCCAACATCTCCCCATCTTGCTGCATCTCACCGGTTCTTAGATGTGGCGGCTGCATTAGGTGCGGAGGTGACAACACTCTAATGCACCTTAATGTATTTATGGAGGAGCATTGTAGGCCCAGGACTACAGGACCCCTCCCTGCTTTCCTCTTCTCTGTGACATGGGGGGGGGGGGGAAAGGGGTTCTGTAGTCCACTGAGAGGACTGAGCAGGACTGACCACCGAGATTTTAGCGCAGCAGAAGCAGAGCGCGCAGGAAGTCATCGACTCGCATGAGTTCTGCTGAATGGTGCGCAGGACTGTCAGTCAATGTTGTGCCGACGAATCAGCCTCCTGGTTTTTGGGCTGTATTGGTTTGAAGAGGCGTCATTGTTTTTAATTACATATAAAGGCAGATGGTAACATAAAGGATCCCCAGAGCACCGTGGGATAGCTGAAGAGGCAGAGCAGCATGCTTTTAGGCTCCCTTTGTCTGACTGAAACCTGCATCGTAAAGAGAAGGTGTCCCTGCTCCTCCGCTCCGAGGTCTCCTTCGGTTTTGTAAATGTTACTAAATGATACAATGTTACATGTGAAAAGAGGACTACAGCACCACCTTCTGGCCTGAGAAAGGACTGCATACAACAAAAATAAGAAAATGCACTATATTGCTCCAAGTATTGGGCCGCCGGCCTTCCCACACACATGACCTTTAATGGCCCCCAGTCTTAGTCCGTAGGGATTGGAACACCTGAGTCACATGATATAGAGGGGATTGGAACACCTGAATCACATGATATGGAGGAGATTGGAACACCTGAATCACATGATTGGGAGGGATTGGAACACCTGAATCACATGATATGGAGGGGATTGGAGCACCTGAATCACATGATTGGGAGGGGATTGGAACACCTGAATCACATGATATGGAGGGGATTGGAACACCTGAATCACATGATATTGAAGGGATTGGAACACCTGAATCACATGATATGGAGGGGATTGGAACACCTGAATCACATGATTGGGAGGGGATTGGAACACCTGAATCACATGATTGGGAGGGGATTGGAACACCTGAATCACATGATTGGGAGGGGATTGGAACACCTGAATCACATGATATTGAAGGGATTGAAACACCTGAATCACATGATATGGAGGGGATTGGAACACCTGAATCACATGATTGGGAGGGGATTGGAACACCGGAATCACATGATATGAAGGGGATTGAAACACCTGAATCACATGATATGAAGGGGATTGAAACACCTGAATCACATGATATGGAGGGGATTGAAACACCTGAATCACATGATTGGGAGGGGATTGGAACACTGGAATCACATGATTGGGAGGGGATTGGAACACTGGAATCATATGATTGGGAGGGGACTGGAACACTTGAATCACGTGATATGGAGGGGATTGGAATTCCTGAATCACATGATATGGAGGGGATTGGCGCACTGGAATCACATGATTGGGAGGGGATGAAACACCTGAATCTCATCATATGGAGGGGATTGGAACACCTGAATCACATGATTGGGAGGAAATTGGAACACCTGAATCACATGATATGGAGGGGATTGGAACACCTGAATCACATGATATGGAGGGGATTGGCGCACTGGAATCACATGATTGGGAGGGGATGAAACACCTGAATCACATGATATGGAGGGGATTGGAACACCTGAATCACATGATTGGGAGGAAATTGGAACACCTGAATCACATGATATGGAGGGGATTGGAACACCTGAATCACATGATATGGAGGGGATTGGCGCACTGGAATCACATGATTGGGAGGGCGGGGCCAATACTTTGGGCAATATGTATGTAAAACCTCATTACCTATAAATGTAATTGGAGTCACAACAGAATATTGTTATTAAATGACACATTGTGAACATTCTAAGTGCTTCGTCAGTCATTTGCTGGGGCCCGAGGGGCCCCGGTAAGCACCAGGCAGGCGATGGGAGCGTTCTGGTCATTAGGCACATTGTATAGAAGCCGCCATGTTGTTCGGCACACGCCAGGAGCAGAGGAATGGATCCTACGATAGAGAACGTCTCCGATCTGTAAAACGTGCGGCAGAGAAATGATGAATTCCCGTCAGACGTTCTGCAGACATCGGCTTGCCCCCCCATCCCCCCTTCCCTTTCCCCCATCCCCCCCCCCCCCCCCCCCCAATAACTTCTAGTTTTCCATTCGAGGACATTTCAGTCCTCCGTAATTTCGGCTCTTAATCTTTCCCCGTAAATTTTGACGGTTTTTAATTTTTCCATCTGCCGGCGATGAGTAATTACCATAAAACATGAATTGCCCCGTCGCAGAGCCGCAGAACGTTCCGCCGTTTGAAGCCGCGACATTTTATGTCGTTATCAGGTCAACAACGACTCCCTCATAAGCTTTGCGTGTCATGGGGGTCGTCTGATATTGTATATTTGGCGGGGGAGGGGAGATATTGATGGCGGTTATGTTAATGAACATACAAGCGCTGCTTTCAGTAGGACGAGACGAAGCGAGTTTTTATATATTTTTTTTTATATTTTTCCATTCAGGGATAATAAAGTGCATGTAAGCCCCAAATCGAATTTTCAGTATGGCCGCCATCTTGTATCCCTGTATACTGTTTTTGTGAATCTGTGACGACGTTTCTTATCTGGAGATCCCGCCACAGACTGCACTTCCTGTTGCAGGCCGTCAGCGCTAAGCCACAGCCCTGCAATCAGCACCTTCATTTGGCCGCTGGACTTCCTACGAAGTCGACCCAATGACCTACGAAGTCGACCCAATGACCAACGAGGTCGACCCAATGACCAACGAGGTCGACCCAATGACCAACAAGGTCGACCCAATGACCAACTGAAGGCTGTCCTTGCTCTGCTGAAGCAAATATGGGGCTGGGGTGGCATTCTGGGCCTGAAGACTGGTAAGGAACGTTGTGCTCCTGAGTATGGGAGCTCGATACTCTCCTTCTAGAACTCTACGACCCCCCCCAGTCCCCAATACATACACACAATGGGAGGATAGCCCTTTGAATATCAAATTTTGGGGGTTTCCCTTTGTGATTTGGCACTTTTGGTCATTTATTAGTTGTCCTGCTTATGGGAGTCAACATACGTCCAGGAAGGTCATGTATGGGGGACATGGCGAGGTGAACATCTAATGACCTCATCTGATCCCAGGAAACCAATAAATAATCACAAATGGATAATTGCCAGGATGTTGGAGTTCTGATCGATTGGTTTGGATTTCCTGTCTATTTAATGTGAGAATTATTCCCACAATGGGCTTGGTGACCATAATGTTAGGTCCTATTTGGTCACTATTGAGTTCCTCCAGAATTGTAGATCCTTTGTCTGTGACAACGTTTCTTATCTGGAGATCCCGCCACAAACTGCACTTCCTGTTGCAGGCCATCAGCACTAAGCCACCTTCAATTGGCCGTTGGACTTCCTACGAGGTCGACCCAATGACCAACTGAAGGCTGTCCTTGCCCTGCTGAAGAAAACATGGGCTGGGGTGGCATTCTGTGCCTGAAGACTGGTAAGGAACGTTGTGCTCCTGAGTATGGGGAGCTCGATACCTCCTTCTAGAACTCCACGGCCCCCCAGTCCCCAATACATACACACAATGGGAGGATAGCCCTTTGAATATCAAATTTTGGGGGTTTCCTTTTGTGATTGGCGCTTTTGGTCATTTATTAGTTGTCCTGCTTATGGGAGTCAACATACGTCCAGGAAGGTCATGTATGGGGACATGGCGAGGTGTACATATAATGACCTCATCTGATCCTGGGACACCAATAATCAATCACTAAAGGATAATTGCCAGGATGTTGGAGTTCTGATCGATTGTTATGGATTTCATGTCTATTAAATGTGAGAATCACACAATGGGCTTGGTGACCATAATGTTAGGTCCTATTTGGTCACTATTGAGTTCCTCCAGAATTGTAGATCCTTTGTCTGTGACAACGTTTCTTATCTGGAGATCCTGCCACAAACTGCACTTCCTGTTGCAAGCCATCAGCACTAAGCCACCTTCATTTGGCCGTTGGACTTCCTACGAGGTCGACCCCAATGACCAACTGAAGGCTGTCCTTGCCCTGCTGAAGAAAACATGGGGCTAGGGTGGCATTCTGGGCCTGAAGACTGGTAAGGAACGTTGTGCTCCTGAGTATGGGGAACTCGATACCCTCCTTCTAGAACTCCACGGCCTCCCCCCCCCCCAGTCCAAAATACATACACACAATGGAAGGATAGCCCTTTGAATATCAAATTTTTGGGGTTTCCTTTAGCGATTGGCGCTTTTGGTCATTTATTAGTTGTCCTGCTTAAGGGAGTCAACATACGTTCAGGAAGGTCATGTATGGGGACATGGCAAGATGTACATCTACATATTACCTTGATGACCTCAACTGATCCCAGAACACCAATATTCAATCACAAATCGATAATTGCCAGGATGTTGGAGTTGGATGTTGGAGTTCTGATGTCTGGAGTTATGGATTTCCTGTCTATTAAAGGTGAGAATTATTCCAACAGTGGGCTTGATGACCATCATGTTAGGTCCTGTTTGGTCACTATGGAATTCCTCCAGAATTGTAGATCCTTTGTCTGTGACGACGTTTCTTATCTAGGAGTCAACATATGTCCAGGATGGTCATGTATGGTCATGTATTGGGGACATGGCGAGGTGTACACCTGATGGCCTCATCTGATCCCTGGACACCAATAATCAATCACAACTCGATAATTGCCAGGATGTTGGAGTTCTGATCGATTGTTATGGATTTCATGTCTATTAAATGTGAGAATTATTCCCACAATGGGCTTGGTGACCATCATGTTAGGTCCTATTTGGTCACTATGGAGTTCCTCCAGAATTGTAGATCCTTTGTATTGCACTGTGATGTGTAGATTGATTGATTTCTTTCGTATTATTTTGTATTTTGCTCATTTTTGATTGAACATCATCGTTCTTGGTGGACCTTCTTTTAGTATTTCATCAACAAACGTTCTCATCTCTTGCAGCTGTCGGGAGGCTGTGAGCTCACCACGGTGCTTCAAGATTTTGTCGCCATCCACAGCAATGAGTTGAGCATCCAGGTGGGCCAGACGGTGGAGCTTCTGGAGAAGCCGAGTGATCGTCCTGGGTGGTGTTTGGTGAGGACGACGGATCGGAGCCCTCCGCAGGAAGGTCTGGTGCCCAGCAGTGCCCTGTGCATCTCCCACTCCCGGAGCAGCGTGGAGATGGAATGCTTCTTCCCGTCAGGGAAAGGTAGGAGCCGTTGTGAGTTCTGGTGATGCTGTGTTCTGCTGTGGACTGGAATAGGAACCCCAAAGTGATCTGCCCCTGAGGCACAATATGGAGGAATGGTTTTTTCTGACGAATATTTGTTGTGTTGATGTACAAAAGTGACATTGTTGCTTTATAAATAATTTCTATTTTCGTAAACTATTACTACATCTTCAAAACTGGGGACATTTGCTAGGTGGGAGCAACAGGTGCGCTCTGTAGCCAAATGTCTGTACCCCTGACCATCAACATCTAGAAGAGCTTGTTTGGACCTATGTTTTGAAAACCATGGCCACGGATATGGAGCTGACCCCCAACATTCTCCCCCCCACCACCACAGCCATTAATATGGACCTGACCCCCAACATCCTGCACCACCACCACAGCCATTAATATGGGGTTGACCCCCAACATCCACCACCACAGCTATTATTATGGGGTTGACCCCCAACATCCACAACCACAGCCATTAATATGGGGTTGACCCCCAACATACACCACCACAGTCATTAATATGGAGCTGACCCCCAACATCCACCATAGAAGCCATTAATATGAAGCGGAGTGCCAACATCCACCACCACTACAGCCATTAATATGGAACTGACCTCCAACATCCACCACCACCACAGCCATTAATATGGAATTAACCCCCAACATCCACTACCACAACTGTTATTATGGGGTTGACCCCAACATCCACCAACACCACCACAGCCATTAATATGGGGTAACCCCCAACATCCACCACCACAGCCATTATTATGGAGCTGACCCCCAACATCCACCATAGCAGCCATTAATATGAAGCTGAGTGCCAACATCCACCACCACCACCACCACAGCCATTAATATGGAGCTGACCCCCAACATCCACCACCACAGCCATTAATATGGAGCTGACCCCCAACATCCACCACCACAGCCATTAATTTGGAGCTGACCCCCAACATCCACCACCACAGCCATTAATTTGGAGCTGACCCCCAAC